GCTGGGATGCTGATGGGAACTGCACTGTATCTGCACAGCAGGGCGGAAGAGCAGACATCGTAAGAGTATTGAATCTTCCATTCCACAAAGACAGTAGATTTCTGTTTATTTAAACCTCAGATTTTCTTTGTCTATGTTTTGTAGTTTATTCATATTATTTTATACATAGTTTTAAAGATTTATTACTATTTAATTGGTGGGCTGATCTTGTAAATAATATATTTTTCAAAAAATTCCAAATTCCAATTGTTCATTCTGTTATATAAGAAATTCAGTATGTAAGTAATCTTTTATACAGACATACATTCATACATACATACATGGTCTTGCCCTCAAATTTATTATATAGTTCAGAATGGCATTGAATTTGAGGATTCTTCTGACTCAGCTTTCAAGTACTGTGATTACAGACCTGCATCACCAGGGCTGGCTATGCAATTGACGTGTGTGTGTGTGTGTGTGTGTGTGTGTGTGTGTGTGTGTGTGTGTACAACTGCAGGTGTCATTCCTCAGGCACTGTCCACCTTTTTTATAAGATAGGGTCTCTTACTGGCCTAGAACTTACCAAGAAGGTGAGGCTGGCTGGCCAACAAATCCCAGGGACCCACTCATCTCTGCCTTCCCTGTGTTGGGATTATGAGCACATGGCTCCATGCCTGACTTGTTTTAAATGTGATTTGGGGGAATTAAACTCAGGTCTTCATGCGTGCAAGGAAATCACTACCACCTGAGCCATCATCCCAGCCCCGTAACCGACTTAGAGGATGACGGTGTTTTGTGTGACCTGGTTGTACGGAATAGTTAGTTGCAGGAGTTTTATTTTTTTTATGCTTTGGGGATTTTTTACAAAAACACTCATGTAATCGCCAATAGATAGTTTTAATTTTGTCTTTCACAAGTGTATGTACCTGGGACTTCCAGTGTAAATGTGAACTATGAGTGTCAAGAGAGGACACCCTACCTGGTTCCCTATCAAGAGAAAAGTGTTCGGTCTTTCACTATTAAGCCTGATATTGCCTATATGTATGTTCTAGATATTTTTATTGAATTAAGGGAAGTTTCTCCCTATACTGGGTTGCTGTACATTATTCATCATGAAGAGTGTTATCCAATGTTTTTTCCAATGTATATTTTGATTGAATTTTTGTGTTTCATATAATACATCTTAGTCATATTTAGACCCCTTCTCCTGTGTGGACATCCCCATAGCCCGCCCACAGGTTTTCATGCATTCTGTCCTTTATATCAAGGTCCTTTGAGTCTAGTTTGTGTACCCAGATGTCCTTCAGTGTGAATTCTTCCACTGGAACTTTTTCAGCCTATCTTCATCACTCCCTTAAAGATCTACTCTCCCTCACCCAGCAGCAACCAGCTGCCAACAGTTCCTCAGCTAAGGTTGGGGCCTCCTGCCCATTTCCCCAGTTCTAGGCTGGGTTTTTGTCTGGTTTGGGTTTGCGTGGGTCTTGTGCATGCTGTCACCATTGTTGTAAATTCCTATAGCATGTTCCAGGAAACCTGGAAGACTTTGTTTCCTTATGGACAGGGTTAGGCTAGGCTGATTGAGTGGCCAGAGAGGCCCAGAGAACTTCCTGTCTCTGCCTCCCTAGCTGGAATTACAAGCACACACCACCACACCTGGTCTTTTATGTGGGTACTAAGGATGGAATTCTGCTATTCAAATGCTTGCATAGCAAGTATTTACCTCCCCAGGACCTATAAGTTTTTGATGTCTTCAAATTCATTTTTATAATCCATTATTTTGTTCCAAAGCATATGTCAGGTACTCTGTAGACAACAGAGATATAAAGCAGAGTAAAGGTATATTCCCTACTCTTAGTCCATCAAAATTATGGAAATAATACATAATAATACAGCATATTTAATTTTCCTTTATGGCAACATGAAGAGAGAGCAGGCTTGGAAGATAAACCAGACCTAGCACTCTAAAGAAAAGCAGCAGAGTCGTCTCTAACATTATTGTTGACGTTTGACGTGACCCTAGAATGACAGGAATTTTTCACTTGGAACTGTTACAGGAACAGTTTAACGAATTGGAAATGTGAGATTCATTGAGGAGAGCACTAAATGAAGACCACTGGGTATAACACTAAGTTTCAAAATCCATAGGTTGGCTTTCCAGAAGAAAATGTTAAAACTAGGAAGCTGTGGAGTGTCAGGATCTACTTTGCATTTAGCAGGCTGCCTCTGAATGGTGTGGAAGGTAAATTCTGCATCATGTTGAAATGCTATGACTTGCTAAACCAGTCATGCATTTAAGAGACATTTTCAGTTGTGGTTTTTATGTTTTGTTGTTGTTTGTTTGTTGGGATTTTTGTTGTTGTTGTTTTTGTTGTTATTTTGAGACAGGGTCTCCTTGTAGATCCAGCTGGCCTGAAACTAGCTCTGTGGACCAGGCTGACCGCAAATGCACAGAGCTCGACCTGCTTCTGCCTCCTGAGTTCTGGATTTAGAGGTGTGCGCCAATATGCCTCGCTTAACTTGTTTTTAACTGATCCACAATTCATAACTGACAATTGCTATTTTAAATCATACAAAAGCCATCCTTATGTATTTAACTTTCATATGATTTTGCAATTTTCTTTAGAAATATTTTTGAGATTGAGCTAGATATATTTAAATTATTTTGAAGTGCATGTTGACATATTTCATTAATTTTTATGTATTTGGTAAAATTTACTTTATATACCTTTCCAATATAACTTAACATACATCTATTAGATATTTACTGAGTGCTATTTATAATTTTACTCTGAGAACCCACAAATAAAAGTTAAAGAGCTTACAATCTAGTAGAGTGGATATAGAATATACTACATGATATTATACAAGACATTATAGAGGTTTTAAAGTCCTAACGTGAGAAACAAGAACTTTATAGGAAGTAGGGCAACATGCAAACCTTTAATTGGAACACAAATACAGTTACAGCCATACCGTACGAGACTTTTAAAGGACACTCTCATAACCTGATTACCAGGCAAACAGAAATGAGGGCCAGTGAGGTGGCCTGGTAAGGTACTTGCCACCGAGCCTGATGACCTGAGTTTGATTCCCTGGATGAATGTGGTGAAAGGAGAGAAACAACCAAGTTGTCCTCTGACCTCCTTATGCACATGCCCCTCCCCCCAATCACACACAAAATAAATAAAAATGTAATTAAAAATTTTTTAAAAGAAACAAATTCTTGGAATTGGGGATAGAGAAATGGGAATGACCAATTTAGAATTTCTAAACTAAATAATTCTTGAATAAAGCAGGGGGGAAAACAAGCCTGAGTGTGAACAGATCCAATAAGCACACTCTTGTGTTTCAGAATGTTTAAAACAGTTTATAATAGCCCAAATCCAAGTATCTATACAGTCTGATAATAAACCAAGAGGGGGTCTAAATTGACCAGGGTGAGTTTTCATAATAACGCAAATTTAATATAACAAAGTGGAAAACCTAAAATTTGTAATATCTCAGTTGTAAAATAGGCTGGGATCATCTGTTCCTTTATGGGATCACCACATTAACTATAATTAATATATAGGAAGTTATTAGGAAGTTTTTGAGGAAATGACTTTTGTTGTAGGGGTTGGAGTCCGAAGACTCAGTGGTTAAGAACACCTGCTGCTCTTGCAGAGGACCCTGGTTCAGTTCCCAGAATCCACATGGCAGCTAACAATCACCCGTAACTCCAGTTCCAGGGTATCTGACACCCTGTTCTGTCCTCCATGGGCACTGCATACACATGATGCATTTACATACATGCAGGCAAAACACTCCATATAACAAAAAAATACAATATTTTTAAAGAAAATTTGTCATAGGCAGGAAAATATTATATTAGGAATTAATGCTATAAAAAGCAGTGCTTTTCAGTTTTCATGTTAATCTGAATCAATTACTTTACTGTTTTGCCATAATGCAAGTCTTGATGTAGTAAGTCTCCTCCTTAGTGAGCTCTGAGATTCTGTGCCTTTAACAAATTTCCCTATTGATACCTTTTCTGCTGGTCCACAAACCACACTTTGGATAGCAAGAATCTAGAGCAATAATTTTCAAATCTTAGGTATTTTTATCAGCCATTTAGCTTTTGTACATTTACAAAATACACATTTACATTTGTAAATTTGTACATTTGTAAAAATGTCCATTACATTGTACATTCAGAAAATCACACATAATACTGATATTAACATCCTTAACAAGTCTTTGATAACAGTGATGAATGTGTCTTTAAAAGGCTATGTACTCAGTATAGGGTCCTAATTTCTGGATTTTTATCTTATAAACAACTGTTACTCCATGTTGATACAAATAGAGAAAACAAGTAATTAGGCTTGGGAATATGAATTTGTACAATCATTTCTGGAGAATGGTCTCGTAATGTCTGTGAAACTCCCGAGACTTACCACTGGGTGGACTGTTCTCACTTAGAAACTGAACTCGGGATGACAGCTGAGACTGACACTTCATATGCCTTGTGCATATGCTTAGAACTGTGGTTGTGATAGCTAGAGCTTCTGGAGCTGGCGGGATGTTTTTCTGCTCCACGTAGTGTTTTCATGGGCTTAGGCTGGGCTTCCTACAGTGCCATGGTCTCAAGATAGCTGGATTTCTTTCATGGCTTTTGACTGCCACCAGAGTGAACTTTCTAAGTGGCCCAAGCAGATGCTACAAGGTTAGTTATGACTTAGTCTTGAAAGGTACTCAATGCCATTTCAACTGCATGTTGTTGGTTAAAAGAAAGGTATAAAGATGACTCAGATTCAAGAGGAAAGGAATAACTAATTACAAAGGATGAGAATATTAGGAGATGTGGAAGGGTGTGTGTGTGTGTGTGTGTGTGTGTGTGTGTGTGTGTGCGTGTGTGTGTGTGTGTGGTGTGAGTGATTCATTTGAATTACATTTTATTCAGAAAACTTTTCAAATGCTTATTTGTAAATCATGAAGTTAAATCTCAAGTTGCCATAAATGCTTCTTAATTACTGCAGGAAAATCCCGAGGAAGGAAGGGCCAGCATTTACAGATCAGTGATCATCAACACCTCTAAGGAGATGATGTGCTTCAGTGACTACCCCATCCCAGATCATTTTCCCAACTTCATGCACAACTCCCAGGTCCTGGAGTATTTCAGGATGTATGCCAAAGAATTTGACCTTGTAAAGTATATCCAATTCAAGGTAAGGGGGTTTGGGGGCATCTTTGTGTCTGAGAATATTCATGAAGTAAATGAATAGTGAGGCTTCGACTACCTGCACTTACCTGTCAAGACTGGCTTGAAATGCATGAGTAGTTATCCTTTTCAGACAATGATGCTATGATTTGTCCTTTTGGTCCATGAAGAATACTGAGGCAGAGGTCTCTCAGATACATTTAGGCTGCAGCTACGGGAAGCCAGCTGCCAGGGTGTTTTCACTGCCTTCAAGCTCTTTGATTTTAATAAAACAGATGAGGAGAACTGACAGGGATCAGAACTTCAAAACCTTCTTTTCCACTATTACTTAGCTTCCTTGTACTGTCCAATATACTATTTTATGTGTTCACAACAACCCAGTGTAGTGGATACTGGGAATTACGGTACTTGCTCTACCACAAATTAACATGTGGATCCTAGACAAGACGGTTTCTCAACTTCAATTTGTCTAAGTTTCCTCATTTATAAAACAACATGATTACCTCAGATCATTTCTGTCTCCTTCCTTATGTAAAGTTTTCTGTGATGTTTCTATGATTTGCAGTTGTGGACATAAAACAACATATATTTATGATATCTGGCAAAAAGCCCAAGCTTTCTCCCAAGTCTTCTGCTAACTTATGCCCCATTTTCTTAAACAACAAAAATAAAAATGATAACTTCCAAAGTCGGTCATTTACAACCCAGGGGTACTTCCTTTGTCTAAGAAAGACACTTCTTCAATAAGTCTGTCACTATTCTAAGCAGTAAAATTGAAAAGACCAAAATGTTACAGAAAAAAATTATTGTTCATATAATTAATAAAATGAAGAGTTACAAAGTGCTATGGAGACCTAGACATTATCATTTAGAGGAGGATGTTTAACCTTCAGGGCATGAGGTACCAGGCTTCAAGGAAGTTTTATTTTAGAGCATATAATGTCCAGGCTGAGTCTTGAAGGATGAACAGGGGTCTACCAAATGAAGAAGGTGACCTGTGTAAAAGCTCATGATTGGGAGCTGTGCCTGGCAGGATGGCTGGGGCTTGGTCAGATCTCTATTACTCTACCAAGACATTATGGCCAAGGCCATACAAACACATCAGAACACATTCTCGGTATACTTAGACTGGGCAGAGTAACCTGTATTTTGCCAAGCTAAGAATTATGCCACCAATAATCCCTCTCTCACAGCCTCTTTATAGTTGCTTGTAAAATGGGCATTTATAGAAGGCAAAGAAAGACTTTGTTACATAAAATGAGAGCCACTGAGGTGTTTTTCTCTTCTCAGTGAAAAGGGAGACCCATACTGTAGTCACATATTTAAGGCCAGCCACTGGGAATGGGACTCGGGGTAAGCAAATATCAGGAGTTTGGGGGTGTCAAGGGGAGGAGGAACAGGCCATTAGTGCATGGCATGCCACCAAAGCACAGGAGAAGCCCCAGTTTTACCTGGTTGCTGCAAAGCCTAACAGCATAGACCAAGAGACTGGCCATTTACACCTTTCATAGAAGCAGAGGACAGTGCACTAGTTTGCCAACTCTACTTTACATAGTCTACTTCATCGACACTTGTCGGGTATGAGAATCAAATGTCCCTACAGAGGCCCTGTGATGTGATGGTGCCTGTGATAACAGCCCTTGTGTAACACTCTACAGGGAGTCATGTCAGGGAGGACTTGCACTAATAGGCTGTGATTACAGTTCCTTGTGACTGTCTCTTTTCAGACCACTGTGTGCAGTGTGAAAAAAAGGCCAGATTTCTCTACTTCAGGCCAATGGGAGGTAGTCACAGAGTGTAAAGGGAAAAAGCAGGTGGATGTCTTCGATGCAGTCATGGTTTGCACTGGCCACCACACTGATGCTCACCTACCCCTGGAAAGCTTTCCTGGTGAGTGACCATGACTATGGTCATGACTATGCCATGGCCCCTGATGAGTGGGAGGGTTGTGGTCTAAGTGGGGTGAAAAAGCTTACCCTAATTAGATATGTTCCCCTGAAGATGTCAGAGTAGTTTCTATTACTGCCATTTTGGAGGTGGAGAGGATAGCAATTTGGAAGATTAGAGGACAATTAGAGGTCTGTCTATCATCATGAGCCACAACTGTCATTTTGGACAATGAAGGATTTGCATACACACTGGTATCCACAAGGTATTATAATGGAGCTTAAAAATTCCTATTGCCTAGTGAGGCCTTAGCTACTGTCATGCTGTAGCACACAGCACTGTTGTGGTAACACTGGTGTACACCAATCTATTGCACTGTCAGGTTGTATAAAATTATAGCATGCACGCCTATGTACGGTTCATACTTGATCATAAACGTTAGTGGTTTATGTATTTACTATACTATACTTCTTTGTAATCCTTCTGTGTATTTTTTAAATGTTCTATAAAATGGTAGGCCGTACTATACCAGCAACAGCCTCACACATCTCATGTTTACTGTGTCTTTTGACTGACCTGTGCCATCTACATTTGTAGAAGCTCATCGATAGCATTTGCTCAATAATGAGCTCCACTTTCAACATATTTCCCAAAATGGAAGCATTCCTGGCAAATTGCACATTTAGGACAGTACCAGGATGGCTTTGCTTTCTTAAGGATCAAAAGAAACTCTGTGGAGTTCTTCATGAGTATTAGTTGGAATTAGGAATTTTTCAGCAATTGAAAAAAAACAGAAATATTGAGTTTCTAAAGGTGAAATGAGTGCTTCCTGGGCGCAGACAGGAAGTAGTGGGGTACAGAACCAGCAAAGAGCAGGAGCTAATCATGTGTAGTCAGTCGGGCTGCGGAAGGAGATAGAGTCAGGGAAGCTCCCTGGGAGATCGTGGATGACTGGGAGGTCAAGAGAGCCTGGAGAAAGGGCTAAGCTCCATTCAGACCAGGAGAGCACTGTCCTTGCTGAAGCGCACATTTGCCACAAGGGAGCCAGAGGAGCTTCAGGAACTAAAACTGCTGCTGCTCCCGAAGGATAGACTGCTGGCACTGCTGGTTCTCCAGCCTCATCCTCCCTCTGGCCCTCAGTCTGTCTGTTTGTCTTCTGTTTGCCCAATTGCCAGCTACTTCCTGCTACCTGGTTTCCTTTGAGAGCATTAAGGTCTGGCTTCTCTCTTGTACTTCCTCTCTGGAAAGTGCCATGATCTACTGAATCCTACCTTGACACCATGCCCAGCACACAGTAGGGCTCAGTACAGGTTTTAAGTAGAGTTACATGCCAAGGGGAGCCCTACTACCCACAGAAGCTGCAAATATCTATGGAGGTGGGGATCCCTGAAAGTTCTTTGTTTCTTTTCGGTGCTGCCCAGGAAAACCACTGTGTATTTTCAGGTCAGATCACCTGGCCTCTGCCCCACTGTTCCTGTTTCCTCTTTTAAAAATGGAAATAGGGCAGGCAAAGCAGACCTCACGAGGACCTTTTTCCCTTAGACAAATAGCTGGTCTTCTTATTAAAATGGTAATTTCCTTTGTTTAAAAAGGCAGATGTGGTCAAATTAAACTAATCTAATTTGCAGGTTTTCATTAAAAATATATATGAGTTTGGCTGGGAGCTGTTCTGGTCCCAGGGGTCACTGTGTTAGCAGCCACGGGAACAAATGTCCTTTATTTCCTTGTAGATACATGTGGTCTCCAGGCAAACATCATTTCCCTATTCTGACCTCTTGACCTTGTTTCAGACCTCAGGGGATTTTTATCTGCCAACTTGTCTTATATTGTGCCTTTTTTATTAAATAGAAAAGTTCCTAAGTACCTCTGGGTTGCAGTCCCATGCAGAGAGAAGGGAAAGGATGTCCTCTAACCAAGAACACATGACAAAGATGTGGACACTTTACAGGAGAGTGATGACTATGTGAGTCCTGCCTATAGCTTGATAGCATACTGACCCCTCTCCCATACATGGGTCTGGGCAGGTAGTGCACTGAGGATTCTAGAGAGAATGTAAGATGGGGCTGTGGTGTTTGTTGAGGTTGAGGGGTCTCTAGGCATGTTCATATACCCTAATTTGTTGGTATTGATATCACCAGAAGCCTACATGTCTCATTTAAACCTTGACAGGAAGTCCTACGGTCTTGGTAATTAAAGCATCTGAAATAAGCTATGGGAATCTGAGATAAATGTGGACAAATGGGTTTTCCATATTGCACCCATACTGGACTTGGTTTAGATCCTTTTCTTAGAAATCTTGATGGGCATTGTTCTCTATCTCTTGAAGCTTCGTGGCTCTGAGCCTGTGAGATGGGCATGCCGCTTTGTTGAGTGTGGACCCATGAATGCTCTATGCAAGCTCAGTGTACAGCATTAACTAGGAAACAGTAGCTTTTACCAAAACTACCAGCTTTTAGATTAATTGTTGCATGTTGGGACCATATATATTAAACACACACCTGCTTTGGGGTCTCTTCAGCAATGGTAATTTGAACCTTAATAAAGGATGCATGATTCATTGTGGTGTCAGAAATCAAAGCCTCAGTAGTATGAGATAATGGGCTTGCATGTTTGGAGTTCATAAAGACAGAGGACAAAAAATAGAGGCTTATGGGGGACAGACAGGACCCAAACAAAATATGCTTAGAATTGCAGAAAAATCTTGCCCTTCTCAGTCTTTTGTAAGTCTAGAACTTAGCAGGAATTGGAGATGCTTCAATGCTACTTGAAAGAGGGCAGATGTACTTGGAACTACTTGTATTTGGATTATCCTTTGTAAGCCTGCAACGAACCGTCTCTCAGGAAGTGTAGGCAGCACGTTGTGTTTGTGCTTCTCACTTCCTGTGTGATTGGTCTTTGGAACAGGCCTTAGGTGCTTTGCCGTTGCTGTCCTATTTTCTTGCCTATCTAAATTATGCCAGTTTCTGTGAAGTGCTGTCTGTGATGACAAGTCGACAGTCCCTGTAGAATTTTCTCTTCCTCAGCCCTTTCTCATCAGTCCAAGCTGTGAGCATTGACAAATCTTCCATTTATATTTCCTTTTTTCTTTTAAATGTTGCTCTAAAATTAATTTTGATTGTTTTGAAGAGACTGCTGAGCACATGCAGGATTTTGAAGAACGGAATCTGTAGTCTCAGCAAAGATGCTGAAAACTTCAAGTTTGGCGTGATGCATGAGTGCTGTACCCAAATGGGAGCTGGGTCCACATCCACGTCCTGCTGCAGCGGGAGAGTAGCCAGCTATTGCGGTGGGCAGAGCTTGCCAGGGCTGTGGGTGCCATCATGCCATTGCATTTCATGGGCAAGAGATGACAGGGGTCCTAATCGAGCCACGTGCTCTGGGTATTTGGCTGCATATCCGAAAAATAGTATTTTTTAATGTGAGTATAGTTTCGTGACCTTGCTATTACTGTACATCATCTTGTGAACGCAGCTACAGTTCACCCCATGCCCTTTGCACACCATGTGGTTGCATTGCTTGTGTGCTTTCAGTTAGCATCTGACAAGCTGTGTCATGAGAAGATGAAATTCTCATCCCCTAGTCTGTGGGTTCCATGAGAGGTTAGGTCTGCATCCTTCCTGTTATTCCCCTCCTGCCAAGCAAAAGCCCAGCATCCAGCAGGACCTTTCTAAATACTTGTTGCTGCATGTGTAAGCAGACTTTTCAGATTTGGTGGCTGGATTTTATATTGTAAACCTTTCTTCTGTGCCTTCTGATAAATGCCAAAAAGTACAAATCAATTTCTTTTTAAGTCTTATGTGTATGAGTGTATTGCCTGCATGTGTGTAAGTGCACATGTGTCGTGCAATGCCCATGGAGATCAGAAGAGGGTGTCAGATCCCCTGGAACTGGAAATTAAGGATGACAGTTCTTAGCTGCCATGTGCGTACTGGGAATCCAACCTGGGACCTCTGCAAGAGCAGTCTGTGCTCTTAACAGCTGAGCCATCTCTTCAGCTCCTTCATTTACATTTCTAAAAACTA